TTTTTGCTTCTATAACACTGTGGTAAAAATACTTGTATATAAACCTCTGACCTTATTTAAGCTTGTTTCCTTGAGAATATATGCCTTAAGGATCCAATAACCTCTTAATTGGCCTCTATTACTTTAGAGTTTATCTCCTGCCTATTGCTGCCAGATGAAACTTCCTAAAACATCAATTATCTTATACCATCCCATGTTTGACAGCCCTCAAAAACTCCTCATTGCCTACAGGAAGAAACCTCCACATTCTCTGGCTTGGGGAGTGAAGCATTTGTCAGTTGGGTTCCTGCAGTTTCTATAATCTATTGTACCAGCAGTATGTGGGCTCTTTGGATGGCTCTGCTCTCATCCAGCACCCGTCTTGAGGACTTTCACTGTTGTATTTAATCCTGCCTTCCTTCCTTCCTGTCCCAAACCAAACATATAACACTACTCCAGCTACAGTGTTGATGATGTTGATGAGTGGGTTACGCTGCCTGTCACAAAGGAAAATATTTTAATTCATCCTCAAACATCTCAGTTCTTTCCCCCCAGTTTCCCTCCTTCCAGCTGATGCCATATCTATTTCTAATCAATCTTTCCCCAACTTGCCAGGACTGTGTGTGTGTGTGTGTGTGTGTGTGTATAAATGCATTGTAAAAGGTCTGAAAGTATATGCACCAAACTTCACCTATAGAGAAGGGCCCTGGGATGGAATACACAGAGAGGATTAAGGGAAACCTTCACTTTTTACTGTATGTACTTCTGTATTGTTTGAACCATTTACAAATATTCATTTATTTTTAACTTAAAAACAATAATATTATATATGTTTATTTTTAAAAGGAGCCTTACAGGGTTAGGGTTTATGAAACTGCTTTCTAAAATTTTAAAGGTCAGAGAAAATGCTAATTGCGGTTTCATCCATGACTTTGCTCTAATCATCTAATAAGCACTCTAGTTTGAATGCTACCATCTTTCAAAGTTCAGCTCAATTTCTATAGCTTACAAAGGCCTACGTTGATTACTGAAATGCACAATTATCTCTACCAACTCAAAGTCATATGAAATTGACTTCCTTGGTCTTTTGAGGCATGTGATGATGGATAAAGAAAAGTTCATTTGATTGATAAAGAAAGGCCCATTTAGTACCAATCTAAGCCATGAAAAATAGTTCAGAATAATTATCTATGTAACCCTCTTGTGCCATTTTTTTGATATTTAATACATATGATGTGGATTTTTTTTTCTTTTTGTGTTTAGTGAGGGGTAATGATCCCACTCTTTATGTGATCTTGGGAATGTCATAAATCCTTTTGGGATTTCATCATCCAGAATACAAAGCGGTTGAACTAGGCATATCTTCTTTTTTATTTTTTATTTTTATTTTTTTAAATAGATATGGAGTCTCACTATGTTGTCCAGGCTAGTCTCAAACTCCTGGCCTGAAGTGATCTGTCACCTTGGCCTTTCAATGTACTGGGATTACAGGTGTGAGCCATATCTTCTAATGCACCTTCTGATTCAAGAAGTTTGTGATTCTGTTAGATGCTATGATTTTGCCTGATAACTGGCTTAATTTGAAAATGGTTACTTTTTCTTTTGAAAAAAAGTTACTGAGTCTCCTCTTCCTCATCTGGTTTGATCTGGTCTCATCTCCTCTTCCTCGTCTAGTCTTGTCTTCTCTTCTGGTTTGGTCTCCTCTTCCTCGTCCGGTCTGGTCTTGTCTCCTCTTCCTCATCCAGTCTGGTCTCCTCTTCCTCATCCAGTCTGGTCTCCTCTTCCTTGTCCGGTCTCCTATAGATTTGTACAGGACCAATTTTTCCTCTGCTTCCTTATTCCCCTGTGATAATCTACTTAAGCAAAGCACCATAAACAGATTACTTTCTTCTGGGCATTCTGATTTCCATATTGTTAAAGAACTATTTGTTGTTAGGGAATGGTTACTTCACTTGTTCAGAACATTCTATCAATGTGTGAGGTTCACCCAGCAAGACTGGTTCACCTGGCCGCAGACTTTATTTCAGAAATGCTATGTGAGTAATGGAGAAGAACTGATTGGATTTCATCCTCCCTAAGGGTGAGCCAGTAGCACCAGTGCCCGTCTTGTCACAGATGGAGGGGAGAACTGCCCTGCAAAGGCTTTGCAATGCCCTATTCGGTCTCAGGCAGAATTGGCTCACCATGCACTTCTACAACCAAAAAGACAAGAAAAAAAAAGGTAGATCAATTATTTCAAACAGCTTCTCGTCATGGCAGAAAGCACCCCTCTAAGGTGTGGCTTCAAATGGGAGAGCAGGAACTGAAGAGCTAAGAAGATTTATAATTGAATTTTTGAAGTAAGGAGTTTCTTTATTTAAAATAACTCACACTTTTTACTCCTAGGAATTCACTGGAAAGGAGTGAGACTTATGTAAGAAACTTTAAATTTAGCCTGTGATTAATCAATATTCAGTTTTGAAGATTTATTGGGAGGACCTCACTTGGCTCAAATGCTACAATCCTCAAGAACTTGAAGCAGAGAAATCGGTGGTTTAAATACATGCCAGAGACCCTGCTTATTTCTGTTGTAAACTGAATAACTTGATTTGGAGCCACACTCATCTTCAAAGCTGACAACTCCACCCCTGAGGAATCTGCTAAGGTTCTTAATTGGCCATGCCAGCGGCTTTGAGAAAATGAGAAATCAAAACCAACAACCTAAAGAGGAAAAAGGGGAGGAGGAGGAGGAGGTGGAGGAGGAGGAGGAAAAGGAGGAGGAGGAGAAGAAGGAGGAAGAGGATGGAGAATGAGGAGGAGGATCTGCATGAGATGAAGGCAGAATGGCAGTAATGTGGGAAGATGAGCAGCCGTGCTGTGGCCTTGAGAAGAAAAGGAAAAGCAACACTAAAACCAAGGTCTCAAAATTGAAGTTAAGAAGGGAAATAAATTACTAACAACAAAAAAGTTACTCCACATCTTTTTATCTAAGAATACTAAACAGGACAGCTCTATATAATGAATCTATTTGTTGTAGTAGAAAGAGCATTGATTTTGAAATCAAAAGGACCTGAATTTGAATTCTAGCTCTGCCATTACTGAATTATTATCTTAAACACATTGTTTAACCTCTTTTAGTATGAGTTTCCTTATGTATAAAAATGGTATAACAAAGATAATAATCTTTGTTTCCTTAGACCATACACATGAAGGCACCCAAGACAGTGCCTTATGCATAGTGTGCTCTCAGTATATATTAATTTCCTTCTTCCTTTAGCCTTAACTTTAATTTGTGAAAGGCACCCTTTAAGCAGTAGCAAATGAGCAGGGCGTGGTGGCTCACGTCTGTAATACTAGCACTCTGGGAGGCTAAGGCGGGAGGATCGCTTGAGCTTAGGAGTTTGAGACCATCTTGAGCAAGAGTGAAACCCTGTCTCTACTAAAAATAGAAAAATTAGCCTAGTGTTGTGGCTTACGACTGTAGTCCCAGCTACTCCGGAGCTTAAGGTAATAGGATCACTTGAGCCTTGTCTCAAACAAACAAAGCAGTAAATGCTATTTTATATGTCTATACATCTACAAATGATATTCAGAGAGAATAAAGTGGTTTTTTAAAAGCAGAGATGTGGTAAGTATGGATATGTGCAAAGAGTTTGTGTAATCCTCGGTCCAATCTTATGCAGAAATCCAGAGCCATAATAGGTTTTATGTTATTTTATTTCTTATAGGACCTTAGGTTGTAGCTAGTAGAGAAGGTTATAAAAGTCAAATCCATCTTTGATGCCTTATAATTAGTTGGTTAAGGTAATCAGTAAGTAGGAATCTTAGGCTGGGGTCTGTGACAACTTGGGCTTATATCAAATACTACATAGTACCTCAGGTGCTTTTGGGGGTGACATTCATTAGGCGTAGTAGACATAGTGCCTTGGACACACAATACTTTCAGGACCCATGAAATTGTTTTACTTTATTTTAAAAGCAGAATAAAAAATGAACTTTTAGGTCAAAGAAAATGTTATAATATGTAAGATTAATATATTCATCTTTATACCAATACAGTTATATAGTTTTATTTTATTTTTTTATGTAGGAAGGGGCCCAAGAAAGTCATAATGTAGTCATGGATGCTTTAATGAAATTTTAGACTTTTCTTCCAGGAAACACATCTGAGTGGGTCAGGCTGAGTAGTGTTTATGTAAACGAATTACCTCCTTTTCCTGAGTGGCACCAGGGAAGGGGGCTCACCAGTGTGGTCAGAGTCCCACCCCACACCGCATGACTTTCTATTTTTATTCCTGGCTCCATGAGAAGGTAGGAGATAAGCCAGACACGAAAGCAAAGCAATAAAACAGGCATTTATAGCAAGGTTTAGCATCTCTTAGCATAAGACTAGAATCTTGGGAGCAGAGTGTTCCCTCTTATCCCATACTTATGTAAATTTAATATATAAACTGCCTCATGAATATTAATGAATCCGTAAAGGAAGGTTTGGGAAAAAAATTCAACAATAGCAAAAAAAAATTAGTAATCTAATTTGGGCTGAATAAAAGAAACTTCTGAACTGTTTAAAAATAGAAAATGTAGAGTTGAGTGACTTTCTAAGATGTGAAAACAGATACTGTAAGAAGGAAGCTCTGCAGCATAATGTCTCAGTGTAGAGGATCCTCTGCAAAGTAGGGCATTTGGTCAGTTAATTAACTGGCCTAAGCTCTGCCTTTTAAGAATCTGGTGGCCGTTAAGTAATTCTCATCCCTTAGTGTTGTCTTCAAGCTCTGAGATTCTTTCTTGGGCTAGTCTATTTTTAAAACTTTCCACTGTGATTTGTATCTCTTTGAATGAATTTTTCATTTACGAAAGTTTGATTTGATTTTGTTTAGTAATTTGATTTCTTCAGTGAATTTTTCATTCATTTCCTATATTGTTTTTGTGGTTTCTTTGTGTTGCTTTTCAATTTCTCTTGTATTTTGTTGAGCTTCCTTATAATCCAAATTTGGAATTCTTTATCTGTCATTCTGATATTTTCATTTTGGTTGGTATCCATTGGTAAAGATTTTTTGTTTCCTTTTGCTCTGATTTTTCACATTTCCGGAGTTCTTTTGCTGATTCCTTCTCACCTGGCCTCTTGATTGAGTCCTGGAGGTAGTAGGGGTAGCTTGTGGGCCTGAACCCGGGACCCGGAAGATCAATCACTTACTGTGCCAGGGAGAAGAGTGCTGGTCCATGGGATGTTCAAGCAGGTTTGATGATCTTCTCAGTTTGCCTCTGTCCTGCTGTCTTCACCTGTTCCCAGCAGTGTGAATTGCACTGGGTCCCCCAGCTTAATTTCTGATATGGCAGGTGGTTCTTGGGAGTAGGAATCAGCCATGCCCTGTTTGCTTGAGTTGGAAGATGCTATGATGTGATATATAGTTGTTCTCCCCGTCATTGGATGTTTGTGTGAAAGAGACAGCTGCTGAGGTGTTCTTGTGTGCACATGATAGACTCTGGTACCCCATATGGAGTACTTGAATGCAGCAAGCTTTAGGAGGACCCTGAAGCTACTAGGGGGTTGCTTGATCTCTGCCACCATTGAGGTGGGGGAAGGAGCAAGGCAGTTTGTGGTTAGGTTTCAGAAGCCAGAACGGCTTTGCAAAGGCTCAAGGGGCCTCGGAAGTCTCTTCTCTGGCCACTAGGGGGAGCCCCTGGTATGAGGGTCAGGAGGAGCTCCTCAAACCAGGAAGGCTGTTTATGGTGGAGGGTCCTAAATGCTTGAGTGATCCCTGGGCTGGGATCTTTCCTCCCGTATCCAGTAGCACAGTTTTCTGTGGGAAGGGGTGGTATTCCCCCAAATTGCTACTCCTTGGACCCCTACAGCACACTCCCATCAGTTTAGTCCACATGTGCTTCCTCACCACCACAGTCCAACTCTCAAACCTCTCTCCCATCTGTGTGACCCACTAGTTTGCATCTCCATGAAATGCCAGCAGGCAGGGAATTCAAGGACTGTGAATCCCCTGTTCCACTACAAGTCATCAAAAGAAGAGGTGTGGGCTCCTGTACCTGTGCGGACCTCAGCCAAGAGCACACACCCAGTGGAGAGAAATGGCCACTTGAGAACTTCTCAGTTCAAACTGTTCTCCCTGTTGTAACGAATGGGTGGAGGGGTTGCAGCACCCAGTCAGCCAGCACATGTGAATGCAAGGTGTTTGGTTGCCATGGAACCAAAAGCCAGACTATTCCCTTTCCAATAGCACGCCATTACCCAACATGGCGGTTCTCTTGGGGTGGATATGGGTGTGCTCCCAGATCCTTGTTCCTCAGCTCCCTACCACACTTTCCCGTGGGAAATGTCCGTGTGGGCTTCCTTGCCACCGCGGTCCAGCTCCCAGACTTCTCCCCGTGCCCTCTTGCGCCCCTCTCATGTCTGGGGGGCACTGGGACTGGCTTGATTCTCTGAGCCACTCTGAGTCCAACCCCACAAAACACCAATGGGTAGGAAGTTCCCAAATTATACACGCCTGTTCCACCACAAGTCCTCAAGGGAACAGCGGTGGGCCCCACTCTCTGTGGAGACCTCACCCTGGGAAGCGCGGAGAAAAACGACCATTTGGGAACTTCTCGGCTCAACCTGTAGTCAGGGTTGTAATGGAGGGGAGGGGCCGCAGCGCCCAGTCAGCGCAGGCGCAAACCGCTTTTCTGGTTACAGTGAACTGGGGACGTGCGGGGGAGGAAGTATCCGGGTGGAAGAAAGCTGGCCACTCTGGCCTCTTGTGGCACTCTTCTGGTGGGGAGCCCCCCACAGACTGCCCTGTGACTCTGTAGTTCACCCTGCTATTCCTTATTTGCTGCCTGGGTTATGGAGGGCGGAAAAGCCTTCAGTAAACTTAGTGTCCCGTTGCTGCTGAGTGCGTGTGTGGGGGGAGGGAATCCCCCTGCCCCTTTCTCTGGCCCGAGCCTCTCTGGGTTTGATCGTTTCCGATATCCTCCCCTCTTTATCTTCCTTCTCAGCTTCACAGTCTTTCTCCATGTGGTCTCCAGCTGTCTCCGTTGCCCCTCTCTGTGATCCACACCTGAGCTGTGACTGTTCTCCTCTCTCCTCCACCAGCTGCCCTGCCTTCCTCCGGGGATGGTCTGACAAGCCCTGTCTCTAGTCCCTCAGGTTCGATTTTCAAGTGAACTTTGTTTAGGACAATCAGAGTTCCATAAATGTCTAGTAAATTGAATTGAATAAAAAAATAAGATCTAGGCTAAGCGAGGGCTTTTGTTTAATCATTTTTATTTTTCTGTGTTTCAGAAGAACTTGATCTGTACCTCCAGATCTGTCATCTTGTAGCTGCCTCTGGATTGGGAAGTGTGGCGCCTATAAAGAAATAATCAACAAACCAATGCCTGTTTCATCGATAGTAAGTGGTCTACCAGATGAAGAGAAGTCACATTTCCAAAAGGCTGATTTAATAAGGGAAGGGGAGTGGTGAATTATACTGGGTGAGAAGAGAACAGTCTGGATTGTGGGTCTGAAACTTGTTTTTACCTTGGAGACATAGGTCACTTCTAGATAAGTCACATTTATCTTCTCTAGGTACTTCCACAGTTAGGAAAAACTGCTACATAAATTTTGGCCTTCGTTCTTCCTTGAGAAGAAAATTAAAGTATTTCTCTAATGTCTATCCAATTTCAATTGATTTGTGATGTGTATATGAGACTTGAAAGACTGAAAATATGAGGCCGCTCTGTGAAAAGGACAAAAAAGGAGAGAAGGCAATTTTAATTTAATTTAATTTTTTAAACCATTCTCTTGCCTTTAGTAGCTGAGAAGTGTTAGAAACTTACATAGTAAGTAAAGGAAAATTGGCTAAGACATTAAAGATGTTAAAAAAATGATACATAGCATCTGTTGTATATTTTAGTGCATGCCTGTACAAAGGGCCAAGACCTTTGTGCTCTCAGGAAGGCAGGCAGGCATTATTACTATTTTTATTGTCATCACTGTTATTAATAATAAAGAAGATGGTTACAAAAATGAAAGTAAGGAGGCACCAGCTATACTGACCTGTATGAAATCTTTTGCAATTTAATGAAAAAGACAAGAAGAGACAACATTTAGAGTATGACCTGTTTTTTTGTGTGTGTATATGAAATTGGGTCAAGTAACCAACTATATTTGCAGGTAACTTTTTAAAAGGATTATATAGTCAATTATGCCAATAGTAAATGAGGAAAATTATAAATTTAATTTAAATTTAAGTTTAACCTGACAACTGAAAAGTATGAAAAGTGAAGCCTTGGTAGGGAGCTTTAAGTGAAAAAATAAAAACCTGAAATATCTGCTTTTATCAAGATACATGTGGGAGAGATTTGTTATAAATCAACTGATCAGATGTATGACTCATATTCAGGGATGTTACTGGAACTGGCTATTTGGATCTTACCATCACTGGAGGTAATGCTTGATCTTTTCACTGACCATAAAGATGTTTCAAGACATCTTTGTCAGTGACATAAGCTGCACTCTGCAGCAGAGTCCACAGAGGCCAATGGCAGCAACAAATGTATTTAAGCATTTAGTCTAGCAAAGACACAAGGTTCATCCGGCTTTTCCTTTTTCTGTAAGGGCAGAAATGAAGAAATATTCATTTTGGCTAACATAAAGTCATTACAAATGAGGCAAGAGAGCTGTGGAACATAAAGAACAAGTAGTCAATCCATATTATTGGGAAAATTAAGAAATGGTGTGGTGCTTCATGTTGATAGAGGTGGAATGAGTAGGATCCACATGTCCATCCATTGTGGTCATTTCCAGAATGTCTGGTGGGAATCCTAGACTGACAGGGCTGACTCGGGTGGGGGTGACACTCTCAGGTTGCATCAGTGTGTTGAACCCTAAGTGCCATATTTGGGACAAGAAAGGAAGTGTAAGCAATAGGCAAGATTAGCAGGCTTCAGGTTTGGGTAGAGGAGGAAGAAAGAAGAAGAATAAATGATAATAGCAGACCATCCAATCTAGACTTCTCCTTGGTAAAGAAATCACTTTTATTGTGTCTTGGAAAAAAGTACAATCAGTAGTTTAGCCCAGGGGGGACCCTAACGTCCACCTGTGGATTGGCTGCATCAGAATCTCCTAGAAAAGCTTTAGAAATACACCTCGCAGAGGTTCTGATTCAGTAGGTTTGAAGTGGAACCTAAGGTTCTATGTTTTAAAGGTCTCTCCAGTCATGTCTGGGAATCTGATCTAAACTCTTCTTAAACACCAACAGTAACACTGAGCTCATTATCAGTTGGTTGCTGGTTAGCTGATGTGGTTATAAGGCTCCATCTTATTGTAAACCAAAAATCTGTATCTTGAAAACATCCACTCATTCTTTGGTTCTCTTTGGGCCTTTTGGAGTAATTTAAAGGCCTTAGGTCAAGTTGGATAATTTGAATTTTTGGAGACCGAGTTATTATAGTTTTATGACCTTATCTGGCAGCAAGGTAGTCTGGGAGAGAGAATGGGAATGATGGAATGATGCAGAGTTGGGGATCAAAATGATGGAAGATCAACAAACTGAATGACTGTGGGTTGCTAGAGAAGCTAATGTTGAAATGACCATCTATCGCTGGGGAGACAGTTGAGGCCTTTGCAGCAGGTGTGGACTGTGGTCAGAGCTGTGGGTTGGGCTGAGGGAGCAAGTTCAGTATGGTCTGGGTCAGTGTCTAGCTGGTCTTCCATCTCTTTCTTAGGCCCTGGTGCAGTAGGTTTTCAATTGGTATTTTTTGACTGATTATGGCAAAAGGCAGATTGAGTAGACAGGGGGGTCGGGGGGCAGAAGAAAGTAAGGAGATTGTATCAGAAAGAAAGAACTGACTAGAAATTTTAGAGGAGCAGTTCCTAGTGATGAGAAAATCCAAGTAGTGGCTAACATGTAATGGAGTTGAAGGTGAGATCTGTTGAAAGAATTTGTGGTCATCAGTATGCATGCTGCTGCTATTTTGTATGATGGTTAAAAGTAGGAGAGAGAGAGAGGAACTGTGACTCAGATGCTGAAGTATTTGAGCACAGTGTTTGGAAGTGGGGTGGACATGAAATAGAAGTGAAAAGAGGGTGTAGAGGGCATAGAGTACCTGGTCCTGGCTCTGTCTTGTGGGTGAGTTTGGGCAAGTCCCACATCCACTGGGGACCTCTGTATTCTTTTGAGTTAATGACATTCTCTCCATCTCCCATACAGAGTTGTTGGAAGCTCATGTGAGATATAGTAATCATGTTTGTAAAAGCCACTTTGAAAAGATAGATAACTGATAAAGGCTCTCCTAGTTTTGAGATCATGCAATACAACTATTCTAGTTACGACATATAAAATGTATGTATGGTAAAGCTACAATTTTGCTTGAAAGAAAAATATCTAAAACTAGTGCACTATAGCACAAGCAGCCAAACAACCATTAAACTAAATGACTTTTATCTCTGGAATTAATAGGCCATGTTTGGGGAAGATGATTCTAATATTTATTTTTCTTTCATCTAGCATATGTTGGTACCTTTGGAAAGATCCAGAAATCCACATGTTGACATGAATGTGAGGCTGTTATTGCTGCACATATACTTTCTACAACTTGATTTTCTGTGTATCAATTACTCAGGTAAAAATACGATGCCACTAAGTAGTCCTTTGATTTTGACATTTCATTTTCAAATTTTTCAGAATTAAGTTATAGTTCTGTGACTCTGACTTGTAAGTTCTAGCGACTAGACACTTTTCTGTACTGTTTCTTTCCATGTCTTTTGAACCATGGCTCCTCCTCTGACTTTGGAATATGCAAAACTTAGCACCCAGTCCAAGATAGATACAGTTACTAAGATTAACCTAAGCATTTCTTACATTGGCTTTACTTTGCACATTATTGCTTCTGCTATGGAGTACAGTCTCAAAATCTTACATAAATCCAAAGTTGGATTCAAATATTGTTTATATTAATTAGTCTCTTGTCTTTCTAGTATGGTAATTGCTACCTAGTCTTTCAGGAGGTTGAAGAGCTAAAAACATGAACTTTTGGTAAAGGAAAAAGACATTCCAAGATTCATAGTGTTCTTCCTTGAATTGTACTTGAGAGTAACTGAAAGTCCATTTCCAAGAGGCTGGTCCTTGGCAGAGGCAATATTTATGGCATAGGAACATCATAAATACTGTAGGCTCTTTATTTAAACCCTTCTTGGATGGCGTTGGTTCTAAGAAGCTAAAAGCCAAAGGTGAAGAGAGGAAAAACATTCTTCTGAGAAAGATGAGATCAGTTTTCCAACATTTGGAAAAATTTTTATCAATTTTCAACTAACTTATGTCTAATGATAATGACCATGCACAGCTATTTCTCTCAGCAAAGTAAAATACAGAGGAGTTGTCTGCAAGTTATACTAAACCCTCTTGCTAAAGAAGTAGCAAACAGAAAACTTGGGAGAATCTTGTACCTAACAGAAGAATCTACTTGGGAGCTAGATTCCTAGACCAGACTGGGAAAAAAGTTATCAACTTGTTCCCTGTGCTTTAAATTACAGAGATTGTAAGTGAAATGATATTATAATAATGGTAACTTGCAGAAAAGGAGACTAAACAATAGAAAGATATTAATGGTTTTGGAAGACAAGAAAGGGAATATTTTGTGTTACTTTGGTATTTTTCCTGGGCCTGAATTGCTATAATGTGACTGTGCCACTTCCTTGCTCTGTTTGTCTCAAAGAGTTTTGCATGTTAAATATTAGGAGTTGAATTGTATCCCCCAGAAAGATATGTTGAAGTCCTAACTCCCAGTATCTCGGAACATAATCTTACAGAGTTTATAAAAAGTGTATTTACAGAGGTAACTGGGTTAAATCATTAGCATGGGCCTACTCTAATATGACTGGTAACCTTTAAAAAGGAAATTTGGACACAGAGACAGATATGCACAGAGGGAGGATGATGTAAACACACACAGGCATGTGAAAAGGGAGACAGAGATTAGAGTTATGTTGCTGTAAGACAAGGAATGCCTGGGGCCACCAGAAGCTAGGAGAGATGTGTGGAACAGATTCTCTTTCATAGTCCTTACAAGGAACCAACCCGGCCAACACCTTGATTTTGGACTTCTAGCCTCCAGAACTGTGATAATAAATCTCTGTGGTTTAAGCCACACAGTGTGTTATGTTATGATAGCCCTAGGAAATTAATAGGCCATACTTAAACCTAGGAGCTTTCAATGTTTCCTCCAATCCTTCACTGCCTATTGAGAAACAGATTTTCAGAGCTTCTGAAATGCCCGTACCCCTATTCTCCACCCTGTTTCCTCTGCATGGCTGTGAATGAATGGTATGTAAATATAGTCCCTGTTGGGAAAAGCTCACTGTTCAGAAAGGTTGAACCGTGTAAGTGAAGTGAATTGCGTGGAGATTGTGATGTAGATTACTTCACGTCAGGACCAGTAAAACCTTAGACCTTAAGAATCTCCCAGATGAAGGAATATTGACAGATCTTAAATATGGGGAGTGTGTTGCGATAATAACCAATTCAAAGCAGAATATTGGTTTTCTCTAAAGAAGATTCAAAGGGGGAGTCAATAGCATTAACCTTCACATCAGCTAGTCTAAAATGAAATACTATCTTGGGCATCGACTAATCAAGATTGTCTTGTCCCTTGTGTTCTTGTGTTGGGAAATAACTTAGTTCAGTATCTTTAAGATTTATTCACCTTGTATTTGCACTGATCACATTCATTGAACTGCGGACTGGAGCCAAGAACTGTATTTTTGAAGCTGAGCTGGTGATAGGCAGACTGTCTCTCAGTCCTTGGCGTCATTCCAACCATCTTAAATATTAAAGTGTTTCTTTATGATGCTCCAGAGACATTTTCATCATGTTGTATTCTTTGTGATCAGCTGAACCTAACAATTAAATTTGAATGCTTTTCTAAGACAGGTAGATTCTCTTATAAAAATTATTTGAAATGCTGGTATGAATGACTGACAGAGAATACCTATGTGGACATTTAAGAGAGAAATAAAATATACCTGGTGAAAAGGGAAAATGTAAATATTTCAGCTAGACATATGTGTATGTATATATGTATATCTGCATGCATACCTACATTTTTACTTAAGTTCACTTTATGTAACTATGGAGAGAGGATTGGAGCTATAAAAATCCATTTGCATCTTTATCAGTACTTTATACTATCATAGTCCTTTATTAGTTAGATATTGTTAACCACTATCTAGCAATGCTCCTACTCCTACTGTTACCACGTAAGTAGGTATATTTACTAAGTACCAGGCAATGTTAATTGCTTCATCTACACAATCCCATTTAATCCTTTTGACAACTGTATGAAGTATGTATCTTTATCTCTTTTGCAGGCTAGGACACTAAAGTTTAGAGATATTAAGTGGCTTGGACAACATCACACAGTAAAGGGTAGAGCTGTAAGTAGAAATGAAGATCTTTCTGATCCCAAAGCTCATATTCTTATCCATTTTGCAATTTAGTCTCAAGTATACTGTTGGGAGAAAAAACATTCTATTAGGAGAGGTAAAGACTCTACTCTGAGAGCTCAGTTTTAAGTTGGCAGAGATCAGTGCAGAACTGACATACTTACATACAAGGAAGCAGCAGAATGCCTCAGGGACTGAGGCAATGCGAAAGCAGCACCAATGGACAGAGAAGCCATTCTTGGCACTAAAGGACCAGCAACAGTACCTTTAAGCAAAATTATTAGAGATTCAGTCTCTTAGTGTATATCTCATGCAGCTGTAGGCGAAGACTGAGAAGCTTGTGTAATTAGCGTCTTGATACAGAAACTGAATGTCAAGCACAACACTGCAGGTGACAAGAACATGTAGAATGTGAAGCACAGGCAGAAGAGGGCTGGCAAACTTGGGTGATATAAGAAGAGGAACTAGATGGGATTGGAACAGAGGCAGCTCTCCTGGCCACCTTTGGTCAAGAAGGGGAATTATAAGTTAACATAAGAAACCCAGCTGGGCACGGTGGCTCACGCCTGTAATCCTAGCACTCTGGGAGGCCAAGGTGGGAGGATCTCCTGAGGCCAGGAGTTTGAGACCAGCCTGAGCAAGAGTGAGACGCTGTCTCTACTAAAAATAGAAAAAATTACCCAGGTGTGGTGGCACATGCCTGTGGTCCCAGCTACTCGGGAGACTGAGGCAGGAGGATTGCTTGAGCCCAGGAGCTCAAACAAACAAACAAACAAACAGAAAACCAAAAAAACAAAACAAAACCCATATGTAACTGTTTTAAAATATGGGTGTGAATTCTTTGACACTCTTCTTGTGGAGAGTTAGGGCTCTATATCTCCTCTCCTTGAATCTGGTCAGGCTTGTGACTGCTTTGTCCAAAAGGGTGTGCTGGAAGTGATGCTCTGTCAGTGAGGCTAGGTCTCAGGATCCTGCAGCTTTTGCCTTCTCACTTTTGAGCCCTGAGACTCCAGCTAAGAAGTCCGACTCTCCAGAGGCTGCCATTCTGGAAGAATCACATTCAAGTGCTCTGGTTGATAGTCCCAGCCAAGTCTAGCCTTACAGCCATCTTCCTTCCCCTACACAATGTTGGACATGTGATTGAGGCCATCTGCCAGCTGCATACGGCAGAGTGATCCCCATCAACATCACGTGGAATAGATGAATCATTCAGCTGAGCCAAGCCCAAATTCCTGACAAATAAAATCATAATAAATAAAAAAAATGGTTGCTATTTTAAACCATTGAGTTTCAGAATAATTTATTCCATAGCAATAGATAAGTGGAACCCCCTAAGATAGAATTCATAGTTTATTAACCATTTCTATTCATTGACCTGGTGGAATAATTGCATGAGGAACTTTGGAATGAGATGGAGGACTCTCCCTCGTAAGTGAGATTATAAGATTTCAGAATATATTGAAGCATAGTTTTATTGAATGACATTGGTTATAAAGAAAGTAGTCTGCCTGGAAAAGGAATGGGTGGTAAAAGTGGAGACTCAAGCATTGTGCTAGACTTTTGTGGTCTCTAGCTTTAGTTCTGCTACTGATAACACTGTCAGAACTTGGACAAGTCTTGCAACTTTGATAATATCTGCCCTACCTATCACATAGAGAAGGAAATGTGGCCTGAGGAAATATGAGTTAGTATGTGTGGAAGCAATTTTAATTTTGAAATTATGAAGCACTACATAAATGTATTACTTCTCTATTCATGCATAGAGTTGCATCTATACTGCTACTTAGCACTTATCACATTGTATTTTAATTAGGTGAATGCATTAATCTGTGCCCTACTTCTTATACCTACAATAGTGCAAAACTCATAGTAGGTGCTTAATAAATATTTGTTAACAAATAGCTTCTTAGAATTAACACTAGATAAGGAAGACAAGAAAATTTAGTTAGAGATTAGTGAAGAATTGTTAAAATAATGTTTGTAGTATAAAAGATGTTAGAGTAAATCCATTCTCATCTGTCTTAATTTTCTAGTGCTAATAGAATACCGCATATTTGACTCTGACAAATACTAGTAAAGATCCAGATGGGATATGTCATCTAGTGGTTGTAGTGGGTACAGTACTTACTAGTTCTACTTTAAAATGGCAAGGAGCCTGGTAGGAGGGAAGGATGAAGGAGTGAGATGAACATGTGCCTCATTTCAATGATTAATGAAGACAGCATTGTCCAGAAAGTTTATGGCTTGGAAAATCAACTTGCTAGAAACATTGAGTGTCCTCTACTGGCAGAGAAATGCCTTGGATGCTCTGAAGATACAGAGGAAGTTCAGGGGCCAGAGCTGTCTTAGTTAAAAAAACAATCACTGTGAACCTCTTCTTTGGAGGATAGACATGTCAATGACGTGATCCCTTCCCTTGGGGAGTTTACAGTCTAGTGGGAGGACACTGCCATGGAGTTGTATGCAAACTTAAGTTTGTGAAACTTTGTTTCTGATGTTACCCTTTCTTTGCCCAATGCTTGCTTCCTTCTAGGATTTGAGAAATCTACTTGTAACAACCAAAAGCTATTGTGAAGCTATACAGATGGGGAGATTTCTACACATTTCATTTTCTTCATCTTTTTTTTTTTCACTCAATTCTTTTTCTCTAAAGGATAATAGTTTCTTTACTGTTTTGTGAGTAATTAAAAAAAATTCCAGGGTGCTTCTAGAACACTGCTTGGAATAACAGCTGGGCAATAAATATCCTTCTTCAGTTTCTCCTTTTTCTTCAAAAGTATAGAGGGGTTCTGTTTGTCCACACATCCTATAACTCTTGAAGACTTCACAAGGATGACGGATTATCTCCGTGGGTTGGCCCAGCTCCTTATATCTCTGCAGAAGTGGGGTGGTGGGTGTGGAGAACAGTCACTGTATAGCAAGGAAGGGTGTCTAAAGACTCCATATCCCCAAAGAGTTCTACCTCTGATGATACTTGATATTCTATTAGAAATCTATTTCTTGGAAGTACTTGGTTTTTAGGAACTCACTATTAAAATGCAAGATTTCTTCATGCCAGAAGGAGGCAGTGTAGTGCAGTGGAAATGGGAATAGAAGATATAAGCCACGGAGACCTGAGTTTTAAACCCCAAATCTCTCACTTTGTTGCCCTGGACAAGTTGTTTAACCTCTCTGAGCTTTAATTGCTCCATTTGTAAAATGCTTGGGAGGATTGTTATAAATTATAAAAATAATCTATGCAAAGTGGTAGACAGTCAAGGAACAGTGGTTATTATTCATGAGCCATCATGTCTACTAACTGAGCCTACTGTAGGGTAGGTACCTTGGGAAGGAAGAGCCAACTTGAAGAGGCCAAAATGAAGGGGCCAAAGGGAAAGTGGGCAGGCCTTAAAAATATTGCCTGTTTCTTATTTGACCTGAGCAAGGGATCCATGAATTTGGATGGGGAAAAAACTCAAATCTTTATTTGCACCAAACTCAAACTGAAATTTAGCATTTCTTTTATTATATATATAAACAACAAGCCCCAGTAATATCAGCAGTATCTGTGTATTTATCATCAAATCATAGATATTTTCATATCACATAACAGTGGTTGCAGATATTTCAAAGTATCATTTATACTAATCACTACTTTAAAATTATAGTAGCTATTCCTGCCACTGACACTTGTTATTTAACATTAATGAAAAAGCACATACACATGTACCCATTGTATCCATGACTGAATACTTTCCAGACAGCCCTCCTATATTACTATGCACAAAATTGCTTTTAAAATTATTTTGATAACATTATTTCAAGATAATTAGCTCTTTTTGCATCCCTATTTGTTTGTTTTATGTATTCTGAGAAGGAGTCCATTGGCTTCACCAGACCACCAAAGGGGCCATGCACAAAAATACTTAAAACATTTTTGTCTAGAGCAAGAACCAGTTGGGCAGTGTAGCTACCAAGAGTCACTGAGGAATTTATCTTTTTTTCTGAGAGCTGTTGGTAACAATAGAAATGCTTACCACTCTGGCCTTCTATAACTCAAACAAAAGGAAGTGGAGATATCTGTTTATCAATATCTATATCTATGTAGTTTTCACTTATCATTTTCACATCCAGGAGTGATAATTTTGGACAAAATGAATTGTATTAATGGAACACAATACAAAGAGAAAGTTAAAAAGAAAGGATGCTATTCTGTTTGATCTTTAATAATGTATCTATTTCTTATGTGTGGGAAGGAAATATTAAATTGATCTATTGAGGGAACTGGGAACAAAACCAGTTTATAATTTTTTCTGAAACAGTTGAAATGTTCAGTCTGTTTGTTCTAGTCTCTTCCTCTGTGAGATGGTCAAGATGTTTGGGAGGTGCTTTGGGGACTTTATGCCTGGTGCCCACAGCTTCTCCCTCTACATCTTTGGGTCTTTCGGCTCTGTTTTGTTTTTGGGGGAGCTTAGAGTGATGTACTGGGAACAATGGCTCCTCTCATGTGCTAGGACTGAGAAAGCAGTTGGGCAACATTAGGGGGGATAGGGCTGGATGCAGAGAAAGACAGATAGAAAAGAGACCAAGAAATTTCCCAGGTAGTTTGACCTGACAAGAATTAACTAGAATACTAGTGACTTCAGACTTTTTTGCTCATGTGTTCCATAAAAGAATTTTGAAAAACTCTTTTCGAGTTGACATCTAAAATTTATCATAAATTTAAATAGTTGCAAAGTATATATTAGATGATGTACTGAATATCATATCCATGATTAAAATGTATTTTCATCTAAACTTTGGAGCTGCTGATTTAGCTCATTAAATTTATGGAGAGTGTCCATCATATAAATTAATTGGCAAAGCTAGTCCTTATTGTCAAGCCATTCTGCCAATTTGGACTTACTTTCTGTCAGGAAAAAAAAATCCCATTTCATTTTTTAATTCAAATAAATGTGTTAGTATGCGACCCTTTGGAACCTTCTTGTTTCTGAATTCTAATTCTAGGAAATGAAGGAAGGAAATAAGGGAGATAGGGAAGGAAGAAGGAAAGAGAGTTGGCACAGAAGATTGCCATGAATTTGTACTTGCCTTCTATATTTCCTTCTGAAGTGCTCTTGTTTTTTTCTCCAAGGCTCTCCCTCAGGAGGAAGCCTCGGTGGTTTTCATACTCCAGGAAAATGCACCTGAATAAGACTGTGGTGGGTGAAGACTGGAGATTTGGGTGAGTATGGGTTTTTTTTTGCAAGTAGGAAAAGGACTATTGGGAAAAAAAAGAATATTTGTAGCATTTGTGGCATGAATCTTAGGCAGATTAATTTCAGGAAAGGGAACAATGCTGAAATTGAAGACTGGCAATTGATTCTGCCCCGGTAACTACTTGGAAAGTCTTTGTGCACCAAGGCCCATGTATCTCTGCCCTTGTTTGAAGACCCCTGAACTAGTTCAACTCCATCATGTTTATTTCAATTTGCCTCAGTTGATTTTGAATTGAGTGGCAGAGACCAGAACAATCTCCTGGTCCTGAACTCTTTACACCACTACATCCACCACTGCCCCCAGGGAGCCCCCCGGCCATGGGATTGAGGTGGGTGCATTGAAGCACTGTGATCACCTGGAATTAACCAAATCCAGTAGGTTATTATTATCATTTTTCTTTGTAACCCCTACATTGTTAACCTGCCTTTTTGGTTTCACAAAACATTAATATCCTGGCTTTTGTTTTCTTTCTGAAAAAACACTGCCTTTGTTCCTGTTGTCCCACTGGACAGGAGGGGAACACACTTCATTTCCATGTAGTTCTTGCCATTGAGCTGCGGTGTGGAGCAAACACTTTGGAAACAGGAGTTGTTTATGTCTGACGTGCTCAGAGGGAGAAAAGCTGAACAAATACATAGATCGCTTCGAGCCTTGTTTCTACACCCCACCGGAGTGGGAAGGGGGTGCACCATCAGTACAAGATTGTTGGGCCAATTGCATGTTTCCCCACAGGCACAAATTTGCATGGAAATTGCTGTGCTGTGTTGTCAGGGCTCTTCTAAACATTTCACCCAAAGAATTATACCCAACTTGGGAGTTTGCCCCCTGGGCTGTATCTCTGTTGGACCAGGACAGTGAAATTCTTCCAAGAGAAAGGACTTACTTGAGTCTTCAAATAAAGAAATTACCAGCATAACACACCAGTAGATTTTATCTGTCTCCAGAGTTGTCTGTGTGAATATTGTGAATGCTGAGATGGTGCGGAAGATGGGTTAGGGCTTTGATCTTGTCTCAGTGACTAGAGGAAGTGTTAAAGTACTTCCCCAAAGTCTCACTCTCCCACATTGGTGGGGACAGATACTGACTGCACTCCAGGCAAAATAGTGTATAACTGCCTAGATCCCATCTGAGACGCCTTCTCCATGGGATCTCCCACCTGCTTTGGGGCCCCATGTCTTTTTTTTCTTCCACCTTCCACCTTGCTTTCAGGAAAATGCCTAGCATCAGTAATCACTCAGTAATCACTGCTCAGTATGGACTGAAGTGCATGGAAGCTTTTTCTAGGGCACAGACTCCTGCCCCTTTGTGGTGGGATGAGAAATGTGGCCTGAGTTTTCAGCTGTAGTGAACAGGTGGGCATGTTTTTAGTTTTTTTCTTATTATACTTTTTTCAGAACCTCTGAGTATAGAGGCAAATGCCTACTCTCTCTAGATGCAAGATTGACCCTAATTTTGACACCCAGTCCTGTGAAATGACCAAAAGTTGAAATGAACCCAGGAAATGAGGGCTGCAAATGCCTAGTGCAGGTGGAGAGTTGGGTTTCTGAGGTGCTGGATAACCAGCTACAGAATTCCCTCAGAGAGCTCCTCAGATAGGGGTAGAACAGCCAGGAGGCGGGGGGGGGGGGGCTGCAGGGACCACTGTCAGCTGACTTAGAAGAAAGGTATGAAGTGTCTCCAGTTTTATCGCGAGGAAGGTTGTGTGGTTGAACAGGGGAAGCTGACAGGGCTCTTCACTTCAATAACTTCAAGAGAAAAGATAGTGCATATGTGTGGTGATATCAAATAGGAATAAAAAATAAATTCAAGTACAGCATGAGCTTCTGAATATTAATACTTATACAGTGCCCACAGGGACAGAAGAGTCTACTAGGTGCCTTTTAGTGCAGGGTTTGAAAGTTTTACTCATTTTGATTTTTCATAAATTGATTTTGGGGGGGTGTTGGTCTTTTTATATAATAATTAGAAAGGAATTTTGACAAGAGGACAGCATTAGAGAAGGGAGTGAGGGTTTGGACTGAAGGAATTAGGAGGGTGTGATTCAGAAAAAAGAGGAGAAGGCAGAGGCTAAGCCAAGGGGAAGGGGTGGAGGCAGAGGGAAGGCACAATGTAAAGGGGTCCTCTGAGGACAGGAAAGAAGATGCTGATGTCAACTTCAGGGCTGCAGGCAGGGGTGGCACACTGGCAGTCCTTGGTGTCTATCTGCAGATCCACATAGTCAAGAGCATGTCTTACCTAACTCACACAATTAACAAATATATTAAAATTGGACTGGGTGCGGTGGCTCATGCCTGTAATCTTAGCACTCTGGGAGGCCTAGCTGGGAGGATTGCTCAAGGTCAGGAGTTTGAAACCAGCTTGAGCAAGAGCGAGACCCCGTCTCTACTAAAAATAACAAAGAAATTAATTGGCCAACTAAACATATATAGAAAAAATTAGCCAGGCATGGTGGCACATGCCTGTAGTCCCAGCTACTCGGGAGGCTGAGTAGGATCACCTGAATCCAGGAGTTTGAGGTTGCTGTGAGCTAGGCAGACGTCATGGCACTCTAGCAAGGGCGATGAAGTGAGACTCTGTCTCAAAAAAAAAAAAATATATATATATATATATGTTAAAATCGTCCATTACATTAAAAAACTTAGAGACTTCATACAAAAGTTTGGGTTTTTGAGTTGTTTGGGAAAATCAGAGAAGCGGCCACAATCGTCTGTGGTAACAATCAGATTCAGCTGAGAGGTGGCTGGCTCCTTTGTTAGGGCAGTAGCTCTTCATTTGCCCGTGAACTCCTGATAGCTTCACATCCAGCCACCTCACTCGTGTACATTACCCGCTCTGCCTGTGTGGACGCTCAGTTTGTAAGCTTTGGACTCAGCCTGTCTTGGCCTGGGGAAGGGAGGCTGGCCCATTGCCTGGCTTCCTAGTCTATGCTGATGTTCTGGTTGACTCCTCAGAGTAACCTTCTGATGGCTGATGAAGCCCAGAACATGCTTGTGGGGCGCGGTGTCAACGCCATTACAAGTTGGCGCCTGTTTTAACAAGTTCAGCGCACGCATAATTGTCGGTTGCCCTGTGGCGCGAGAATGCAAACAAAGGGTCCTGATATGGGCTAATGCTTTGGTGGCTCGACAGTTGAGCGGCCTATCGCAGCTTAGGGGTTGTACTTCTGGGGTATATAGCAGCTTGCACGCTGCCGGGCTGGGTCTTCCGCATCATGTAAGTTTAAAGGGAACCCCCATTAAAGCACGGTCAGAAGAACTCCTGTTGCCGCGTCTTCCTTGCTGGCGAGGCGGGCGCGTCACATGCTACCTCAAAATATAGCGCCTTGGTATTTGAGAAAACAGCAAAAGCAGGAAGGCTATTCTCACCTTCTCTTTGCCCTTTTCCCCTGAAGCAGTTCCTAAAACCTTCATTCCAGATGTACCCTCCGTATATCTCAAGGGAAGGAACACCCTTATCCTCGACGACACAGAGAAGAATCTGAACAAATGGGCCTTGTGAAGTTCCCCCCAGTTTATTACCATTAGATCATACCCCCTTTGTGTAATCATACTTCTCCATAACTATCCACTCTTCACCAAACCTAAGCATGAAAACACACAGGTTTACCTTTCCTTTTGAAGTCTCCTGTGTCACACAAAACTTATTAAATAAATCTGTGTGCTTTTCTCTTGTTAATCTATCTTGTGCTATGGATGCCTCAGTCATGAGCCTAGTGATGGGTGAGGAAAGAAATCTTTCCTGTCCTATGCCTACATGTCACAGTGGGATGTAAGGAAAGCCAGAAAATTGTGTGGTGGCATTGGGGAGGGCCCATGTAGATGGCAGTCATAAGCTCCGCTGAACATGCTCAAGATCAGACATTGGAAATGGTGCTTAAGGGAAAGGAGTCTGCCAACCTTAAACGCAAACCACTGAAATAGTGACTTTTAAAATAATTAAATGTGTTAAAGCTGTGGGAAGAGTAATTGTCCTGTACTTTAAATAGTTCCAGAAGTGCTAGAAAAGTAAATATGTCAATTAAGCAGTGTTCCAGGAAAACAGTGCATCTAAGAATACACAGATGTGATGAGGTGAAAACTCAGACCCTCATGTCTTGTTTACTGAGATATTTTATTGTCTCAGTTGCCTTTAACGCCACCTCTCCATTAAAAATAGTCCCTTGCTTCTGCGTCTGGAGTGGCTGTCCCCCATCTATCAGATACCTTTGTCCTAAGAGCAGAGATCATCGCACACCTCTGTCCCTGCTCTTTGCTGTATGGTCTCCCTGTCCCTGTACCTCCAGTGGTGCTCACCTGATCTGGCTTTTCCCTCCAGCCATCTCCCCTGCTCTGGGCCCACCTTGTTTAGTGAGCTGGGGGAATGGATGGCACTGCCTCTCTCCCCAGGGCTGTGGTGGAGAGCTGGCGTCCAGAGGCTTCCAGCTGAGTAACTCAGGCAGAGTAAGGGCTTTGATACCACAAAAAGTGACCTCTGAAACTGTCCTCCAGTTTGAAATGAAGATTTATGAGGGGAAGCAGAAGAGTTAAATGATCTTTCTTAAAAATCTGAAGCATTTGCCAGAATGCACATGCATATTATTTTACATCACACTGATTTGGTATAATACTACTAGATTCTGAAATATTTTCCTAAAAATTGTAGACATGAATAAAAATATATAGTAAATATGAATTTATAAATATGTGTATATAAAAATTCATTATGGTATATAATGTGTACATTTTCTCCTTATTCCAAGTGTGATTGTGCACTCAGCCAATGATAGCTAAGGGGACAGACTGTAGTATATCCTCTCAGCTAAGGAGCATTAGCTCATCATGCTGTAAATACAGTTAGCAACTCCTCTTCCCTACCTCGAGTGGAGTGTGTTCTGCAATATGTGTGTTACTTTCTGTCATTTAGTCTAAAGGATACGTTTAATATCCTGACATAGAACTGACATAAGGCCTCCAAGGGATAGTTCTG